ATGTATCCCATCTTTATTATTTTAACAAATATGACAAAACATATCAACACACATTCCTCTTATTTTACTCGCAATAACAACCCTGTGAGGTGAGTGGGGCTGAGAGACAGTGATTGGCCCAAAGGCACCCAACTAGCTTTCATGCGTAAGGCGGAACTAGAACTCACCACCATCACCTGATGATTGGGCTAAAGTCACCCAGCTGTCTTATATTTAAGGCCAGGGTAAAACTTACCATCGCCTGACGATTGGTCCAAAGTCACCAGCCAGTTTTCATGCCTGAGGCAGGACTTGAATTCACCGTCTCCTGGTGATTGGCTCAAAGTCACCCAGTTGTCCTTCATGCTCAAGGCCAAACTAGAACTCACCGTCTCCTGGTGATTGGCCTAAAGTCACCAGCCAGCTTTCAAGCCTAAAGTGGGACTAGAACTCACAATTTCCTGGCCATTGGCCCAAAGTCACCCAGCCAGCTTTCGTGCCTAAGGCAGGACTAGAACTCCTCTCTCCCACCTTCACCTTCTGGCACCTTCACCACTAGACCGAAGTAGCTCTTCTAACGGGAGGCAGGGACGCATCCCTCGTCACGTGTGTATAAAAGCAGAAGCCAAAAGCAAATCTGGCCTCCAAAATAAGCTGGAGGAAGAAAGCTGAACTCAGCGGATGCCGGACCACAACGGAACAGCTGCCTTGGAGGACACAGCAAACGCCACTAGCTCACACACACACACAGACACAGCAAACATCGCCTTAGGCAATTATGTTTATTTGCAGTGTGTGCAGATTCAAAATACATTTGACGCAACGGTGCAGCGGAACGACTGCAGCAGTTGTCGGGAAAAAGGCAAGCTTACAACAGCGAAGTATAGAGATGCTACATGTCACCTCTATTACGAGTGGAAATTCAAGATTATGGGAGCGCCTGTTTCTCTAACCCAGAGTTGCTGCTTCACCCCCCCCACCCCCGTGGCAACTTGCAGATGGGTGGATTTCCACTCATGCTGGCTGGGGATATTTTGGGAGTCAAAACCCACCCAGCTTCAAGTTGCCAAAAGTAAAAAAAAAACACTGATTTAAACCGATTTTTTTCTTTTAAACCTTGATGCGCAAAGCAGACAAGAGAGCCTTGTTCCCATTCAACCATCCCTGGAATTGATGCAAATTTGTTTCACCAGCCAATCGAAAATGCAGAATAAAACACCTGGGTAGCACTAAGCTCTTAGGAGGTGATCAAAGCTATCCTGGGTGGGATGATAACAAGCAAAGATCTGAGGATAGTTAAGTCGATGGGGAAACAGGCTTGGAACAAAATGTTCCTAGAACAGTCTTCTGTAGCCAGATTGAGGGATCCCTCTTTTTGTGGCAAAATGCAAGTCAGGTGGGCATTTGTGGGGTCCTTGATACGCTCTGAGATTGGTTGCTTTCTTGTGGTGGTTTCATTACCCAACTAGGTAATAACATTAGTGCTAAAAGAGAGTGGAGTACGTGGAGAGGAGGAGGAAGAGGAGGTCTGTGTATTCCTTGGCGCTCTCAGCTTGGTGGTTTTCTTACATTTCATAACCCAACTAGGTAGTGTCATCAGTTCTAGAAGGGAATTTTGCTGTCTGTCTATATATAGGAGGTTTGTCTTCTTGGTGTTGGTGGGAGTGGTTTTGGTCATTCTTTGGTTAGTTGATTTTTCTGAGTTGGTAGTTCCTCCTACCAAATTCCTTTAACCTTATCAAGGAACTATCAAAGAGACCAACCCTTCCTCCCTTCTAGCATTGATGACGTTACCTAGCTGGGTAATGAAACGTCTGCAAGAAAACCTCCACGGCTCAACCCCAAGGATCTCACAAGAAACCTCCAACACTGACAGGGCAAACCACTTAAATGCAAACAGAGAGCAAATCCCATTCCCTTCTAGTACTGACAACGTTACCAAGCTGGGTAACGAAACGTCTCCCAAGAAAACCTCCAAGGACCCCACAGTTCTCCTCCTCCTCCTCCTCCCCCACATAACCCACTCCTTTTAACACTGATGGTGTTCCCTACTTGAGTCACGAAACGTCTCCCAAGAAAACCACCCAGGATTCTGCAGTTCAACCCTGAGCTACAAATATTCTATTATCATCGTAAGCGAGGGAAAACTTAAGTTTAACAGTCTAAAGCCAAGCTGAATACAGGGGTCATAGAGAGAAAGGATAGCTGGGATTTCTCCTACCCTCCGCGGCTTCCGAGGCAGCCGCAGGATTTAACCCTTCTTGAGTTCTTCTAGCGCGTCAGCAGCCCATTTCAGCTCCCGTTCGATCTCTTCCAGTTTTTCCACCTCTGGAACCTAAAGGGGAAAGTAGGAGGAGGAGTAATACTTTATTGTGTCATTGCACCTCGTACAACGAAATTAAATGCCATTTTCAGGGTACATTATACCAGGGGTCTCCAACCTTGGCCACTTTAAGCCTGGAGGACTTCAACTCCCAGAATTCCCCAGCCAGCAAAGCTGGCTGGGGAATTCTGGGAGTTGAAGTCCTCCAGGCTTAAAGTGGCCAAGGTTGGAGACCCCTGCATTATACACAAGAAAACTATATAAAAAAATAAAACACAAACATACCTCCTTCACATTCTATGCAGTTGAACCGAAAACCCCTGATATTGCATTAATATTGCTCTACACAGTTGAATCCAGTAAGAGCTACTTGCCCTGGGATAGAAGCTGTTTTTCAGCCTGTTTGTCCTTGTTTTTATTATTCTGTACCGTCTGCCAGATGGTAATAATTCAAAAAAAAAAGGGGGGTTCCCAGGATGAGATGGATCTTTGAGGATGTTTTGAACTTTCTGAAGGCAGCGGGAGCTCTAAAGCTCTTCCCAAGATTAAATAGGATCCTCTGGGCAAATGTTATACCCAGGATGAAATATTATATCCATAATCCTCTGGGCGATGAGGTTAACCCTCTGGAGAGCTGTCCTATCTGCCCTTGTGCAGTTGGCAAACCAGACACAAGTTGCAGTAAGTTAAAATCCTCTCTAGGGCAGGGATGGCAGACCTTTTGGTTGTGGTGTGCCAAAAGCACGTGCATGCCGGCACCCACAAAGCAATGTGCCCTGACTCCCCTGCACATGCACGCACAACACCCCCCCGCCTCCTTACCTGCACTGTGCATGCGCGCGCACCTCCCAGCTGATTGTTGGCCCGTTTGAGGCCTTTTATGGCCTACCAGAGGCCCGAGGCCAAAAAACGGGCCTTCCAAAATGGAAATGCCAAAATGGGCCCGTTTTCATCCTCCCGAGGCTCCACAGACTTCAATTCCCAGAATTCCCCCAGCCATCATGCTAATGAGCTTATAAGATGGGT